GCCAATTGGTCTTCAGACTTTACAAATGGAAGTTTGATTATCTTTGCATCTAGATTTTCCTTGATAAAGTGTCGATCCACTTCAACGTGCTTTGTCCGATCGTGTTGAACTGGGTTGTGAGCTATGTCAATAGCAATTTTATTGTCACAGAATAGATCAATCTCGGATGTAGGGCCAAATCCAATTTCTGTAAGCAACCTTTTGATCCAAAGGAGTTCGCACAATCCTTTTGCCATTCCACGAAATTCAGCTTCAGCACTTGATAGTGCCACCACGTTTTGTTTTTTACTTCTCCATGTAACAAGATTTCCACCGACAAAAGTGAACTAGCCTGAGGTAGATTTTCTGTCTGTTAAGTTTCCAGTCCAATCTGCATCTGTATAGCCACGTACTTGTAATTGATCTCTCTGTTCTGCATTCGTATTCTTTGAAAACATAAGCCCTTTTCCCAGCGAGGACTTTAGGCATCGGAGTATTCGAGTCACAGCACTCATGTGATCTTCACTCGGATTGTGCATAAATTGGCTAACTACACTTACAGTATATGCAATATCTGGATGAGTATGGAAGAGGTAGATTAGCTTACCAACTAATCTTTGGTACCTTCCTTTATCCGTTGGAACTTGATCTGGATATTCTCCAAGTTGGTGGTTTTGTGCAATTGGAGTGTCCACCGGTTTGCATTCCAACATCCCTACCTCAGTTAATAAGTCCAACACATATTTTCTTTGGGAGAGAAATATACCCTGTTTCGACCTGGCCACTTCAATCCCCAAAAAATATTTGAGTCCTCCTAGATTCTTCATTTCAAACTCAGTTCCTAACTGCTTCTGAAGTTTAGATATTTCTTCTTTATCATCTCCAGTGATAATCATATCATCTACATAAACTATCAGTGCAATTACCTTACCCGATTTGCGCTTTAGGAATAGTGTATGATATGAGTTACTTTGTTTAAATCCATACTTCTTCATTGCCAGACTGAATCTTCCAAACCATGCTCGAGGTGATTGTTTTAGTCCATATAGTGCTCATTGCAATTTACACACCACTTTGGTGCCTGAGGGCATTGTGTAGCTGGGAGGAAGGTCCATGTATACTTCTTCTTCAAGGTCGCCATGGAGAAAGGCATTCTTAACGTCTAGTTGATGTAGTGGCCAGTCATGATTGGCTGCAAGAGACAACAATATTCTCACAGTGTTCAATTTAGCGACTGGTGAAAAGGTTTCTTGGTAGTCCACCCCATGTGTTTGTGTATATCCTTTCGCCACTAGTCTTGCTTTGTATCTCTCGATCAACCCGTCTGTCTTGTGTTTGATGGAGAATACCCACTTGCATCCTACTGTTTTCTTTCCTTCAGGTAATGGTACTAGAGTCCATGTGTCATTCTGTAGTAATGCCTTCATCTTTTCTTTTATTGCCTGAGTCCAATTTAGGTCTGAAAGAGCTTCCTTAATTCCTGTTGGAACTTGAACTGAAGAGAGTACATGCACAAAGGCCCTTAGAGGTTCCGATAATCTCTTAGTGGATACATATTGGCAATCGGATACTTTGATCTTCGTTCTTCAATTTCTGGAGAATATCTGTTAGGTGGCTTACCACGATTCTTCTTGAAGGGTAATACATGCCCAGCAGTATTATCCAAGTCATTTATATTTGAAGGTGGGTCAGGAGTGCTTACCTCAGGGATATTCTTAGGAGATGGGAATGTAGATACTGAGGAAGAGGGGGGGTCACATTCGGAGCTTGCCACATCACCTTCAGAATGATCCTTCAGCTCTGTGGACCCATCAATTAGTTCTTTAGACTTGTCAATCTGCAATGTAGTTTGCTCTTGTTCTGTTTCAGTGCTTGACCAGTCAAAGTGTACCCAATTTTCCTCTTCATTGTTTGTCTTCCCCTAAAGAGGAGAATTGGTAGATGGTGAGAAGAATGTGTCAGTTTCCAAGAATGTGACATCCATAGTCACGTAAGTTCGGTTGGTAGAGGGGTCATAGCACCGGTAGCCCTTCTGATGTACACCATAACCAAAGAAGAGGCAGGGGACAGCACAGGGATCTAGTTTTGTTCATTGGCTTTTGTGGATATGTACATAGGCCACACAACCAAATACTCGAGGAGGGAGCATTAGTGTTGTAGGTGTAGTGACATGGGTTGCCAGGACTTGTAGTGGAGTTCTAAATTTTAGGACTTTAGAGGGCATTCGATTGAGTAAATGTACAGCGGTGGATACTGCGTCGGGCCAATAGCTGTTTGGGACATGAGCTCCATGGAGTAAAGCACGTGCAATCTCAAGAATATGTCGATTTTTTCGCTCAGCAATGCCATTCTGTTGAGGAGTTCAAGGGTATGTTGTCTCATGAACTAGACCATATTGTTCAAAGTAGACATGGAAATGCTAGTTATTATATTCTCCTCTATTGTCAGAGCGTATAACTCGGAGCTTGGCTGAGAATTAAGTCTGAGTCATGGTATAGAATGACTTGAACACTCGTAGTACTTCGTCCTTGTGTTTTAGCAAGTACAGCCAGGTCATGCGTGTACAATCATCGACGAAGGTGACAAACCACCGAACCCTGAATCCAAAAGAGATAGGAGATGGGCCCCACACATCAGTGTGAACTAAAGCAAATGGAATACTGCTTTTATTCATACTTTGTGGATAAGATGCACGTTGGCTTTTGGCCAAAATGCAAGTATTACATTTGAAGTCAGAAAGCATAACATTTGAGAAAAGACTAGGTAATAAATATTTTAAATAGCTAAATAAAGGATGTCCCAAGGGGCGATGCCAAAGCCAAATTTGTCGTTCTTTGTCATTACTCTGTATGTGATGTGCGATACCTACACTGAAGTCTTCCATGTAGTATAACCCCCCTCTTTTAGTATCACGCCCAAGTATCTCCTTCGTGAGAATATCCTGAAGAAGACAAAAATTAGGATAAATGAGTACCGCACAATTTAGTTCAACAGTGACTTGACTAACAGAAAGCAATTTATGTGAAAGTGACGGCACAAGTAATGTATGAGATAAATGTAATGTAGGAGACAAAGACACAGTGCCAGCTCCTGTGACTGAAGAAATGATCCCATTTGCATTTGCAACACTTGTGCGTCGAGGTATGGATTTCTGGGTAAAATCTCTTGCATCATATGTCATATGATCAATGGCGCCGGAGTCGAGTAGCTAAGTACCCCTATCTTCATCCCTAGAGGTGGTAATAAATACGGAATCAGAATCACCTTTTTCTGATGTATGGCCCGTATTTTTATGAGACCCAATGTTAGGTACGAAAGATAATTGTGGTTCAGCGGTTACAACTGTCACCTTGCCCTTACGTCCACCAATGTCTCCCACGTCTTTTTTTCCTGTAACTCGTGCCACCAGTCAAGATATCCATTAAGTTTAAAACAATTATCACGTGTGTGCCTTAAATTTCTATAGTAGGAACATTTAGCCCCTTCAGATTTAATTTTTTCCTTTTTCTCATGAGACTTGTCCATACCCAGAAGAAGCGACCCGTTGGATGAGGCAGCAACAAGTTGGGACATCTTCACTCCTTTGGCGGCCAGAATTGCACCGGAGGAACTGTCGGCGTCGGTGGCGGTCATCACCGCCTATCTCATCGCCTCCCTTCAAACATGGGCATAAGCTTGTTCTACGAAAGGAAATGGTTTTGTCTGCAACACACTGCTCCGAATCCCATCCAGGCGGTCGTCGAGCCCATCCAAGAAGGTGTGAACTCGATCTTCTTGGAGCATCTGTTGTAATGCTGGATATCAGTGGCACACTCCATCGGGTTGCGGCGACGAAAATCAATTTTACACCATAGACCTTTCAACTCCGTATAGTATTTCTCCAAAGAGCCACCGAATTGTCTCAACCTAGTGACTCGCCGTCGAAGTTCGTAGACCTGGGGAGCATCACTGTCGTCGAAGTAAGTTGTGGCGATAGCATCCCAAACCGCCTTTGCAGTGGGAAATCGAATGAAATTCCCAATCAAGGATGGGTCCATAGAATTAATTAACCAACTCTTGACGATGGCGTTGTCGGTTCGCCATCTTCGAAAGTCGGGATCGGTCTCTGCAGGTGGTGGAAGATCACCGTTCACGTAGCCCAATTTATCTTTTCCGGAGATGTACATCTCCATAACTTGGGACCACAAGGCATAGTTTGAACCATCCAATTTGATGCCAATTGGGGTTGAATTTTCGGTGTTTGGGTTTAGATTTTGGGTCTTGGATAGGGCATCTGCCATTTTCTGTGTGAACTCTTGAAACAGAGCTTCGGGGTTGGGTGGAGGATCACCTAGCGATGTGTTTGATAAAATGTTTACAAGAGAAAGGATATGGGTTCTTGATGAAGGAGGCTACTTGGATCGGTTTTCTGCTCTGATACCATGTTTCAGAGGTAAGCTTTTTCTTTCATTTCAGTATATACATTACATTGAGTAGGACACGTATAAATAGGGAGATTTTGTATCCTATTTTTGTCTATACACAATTGGTGCCAAGTATTGTTCTCGACTCCTTGATTAGGGGAATAATTAGGGGAATTACATTGATTCTTATTTCCTATTTTTATTTCAACAACTCACGCCAACAAATTTGACCTAATCGGACAGTCCAACCAAAGAACAAGTGATCCCTTATTTTCACAACTCAATTATCGGATCGAATCTGATTTAAATCACAATAAGTTTCTTTCCAAACTTATATTTGGAGAGAAAATCTTCAATCCAACATGCATAAGCAAGAAAAGAAATAATGTCTATACATAGAGCTCCTTTATGGAAAGAAACATAATTTGACATGTAAATTGTCATTTTTAAGATCTTACAATAACAACAATAATCATCGAGCATGCAGATGACAACTGAAAATAGATTAATAAACAAATATAATCCATAAGAAAAAGTTTCCAAGATTTCTGAATTAAATAAATTAAAAATTATAAAACTGTCAAGAGTGTTTATAATTCCCTAATATAATCAACAATTCATTAAAAAATAAAAAATAAAAGAATGCGTATTAAAAGAAACGTCTATCGACACCACATAGACGGTCGTCATCGACATATACTTATCAGTATTGGGAGGAACGAAACCTTTCAGGTTAGTAGCCATTTCAACAATCGAACCCAGTAAACTGCTATTGTCCATCTATAAAATTCCACTGTTGTTCTCCTCGTGTTGTTGGAATGCCATATTTGTTCTCCTGATATTGTCCTGTCAAAACTTGACAATGTGTAAAATCATGAAACCCATTAGGGTCCATCATTGAAAGTTTAAATACATCTTGATATCGACGTCCAATCAGCTTCTGTGGATTCTCAATAGAATATTGTCCATAATCATAACCTCCTATGAAACTATTTGGTGGCATCGCGAAAATGGGAACTGGATTAGTAATATAAGTGCCTGTATCCAAATTGAGGGATATGGATTGAAAATTTGACCCTTGAGGGTCATGAAGACAATTAGCATAATCATCAGAAAAATCATAGTTAAAATCTTCCATGTTGTAATCCCCAATGTCTAGGTAGAAATTTGGCATTTCCATCAACTCGATTTTGTTAAAAGCCTGAAAGTCCTGTTGTAAAGCTCCGTTCGACCTGTTGTAGGTTCATTTTGTTGCCTCACAACAGCTTCATTTGTGTAATTATTTGTTTCTTGAATCTGAACACATGTTTCCTCCCTTTTGGGTTTCTAATGTTGCTGTATATTCTACACAAAACCCAATCGTCCAACTCCAAGAAAAATTGCATAAAAAGTGGTAAGTGAAGAGAATTAAGACAAGGCTTCTACTTCTCATAGAAGAGATTAGTAAGAAATGGGCCATTAAATAAATTAACATAATCTGAATGAAAGATATCGAAATGGAAAAAAGAGAAATATACTTTCATGTCATCTTCATTTTTTTGTTTTCGTGGCGGGAGATCATTCGCTTTATATTCATGCATAATCCAAGAGGTCTTTCCATCAGGAGATTTGTCCTTGAAGAATACCAAAGTCTTTTTACATCCAACAACTTTCCCATTGTGCTCGATAGTTTTATCAGCTCCAGTTGCTTTCCAAAATCCAATTTTTGCAGCTCGTGTTGGTCTTTGCCCTTTTGGGTATTTTTTGTCCCTTGGGGTAAAGAACTACATCTCTCTTTGGCCCCTCCAACTTATAATCATCTATGAATCAGATAAGGAAAAAAAAATTAAGGACCTACTCGAAAGTTTTGACAAGTATTGGGTTACTTCGTTTCTCAATTCACAAAATCGGTGATTTTTTATCTTTTCCGAAATCTCCTTTTTAAGTTTATTTTCTTTAAAATAATTATTTTAGAAGACAAAAATTCAATTATAGGTAAAAATTGTCTATAAAAAAAATAAAACAAGAACTAAAAAATTTACTTATAATGAAAAAATTACTTTAGTCTTCTTGGGAGTTTTGATTGGTATTGGATGGCATTGTCCGTGAGAGGTTAGAAAACACATTGACTCTTAGTTTTTCGGATTATGTTTCTCAATCTACCAAATCGATGATGTTTTACCCTTTTTTAGATTTTCTTTCAATTTTCGATTTTGTTGAATTGCTTTAAATTAAAGTCACGCAAAATTGAACCATTCATAATCGATACCCCAAAATTCCTAGGGCGAAGGCGATGCTACTACTTTTAATTTAACATAATGCAAAGAATGTGACTTTCGCACCATAAAACTTGAGATAAAAAATATAGAAAAAGAAATTGAATGTGATTCTTTTCTTCAAGCATATACCAATTATGCAAAGACAAAATCAACAAATATACTTTCTGATAGAACACGAAAAATTCAAAAACATATGCAAAACCAATATATATAAGAAGAAAATAAAGAAACGAGAATATAATTTGATGAGATAATTTTGTTGGAAAATGGTTAGTAAAATGGGTCAATTTTGAGCCCAAATTTCAGTGGGACCGACACTTTAATTAATTCGAGACCTAGCGTAGTCATGTTTTACTTCGCGAGGTGATTAACGTAATATATTTATTTGTCAAAAACTATTTAGAATTGAATGAAATATTGAAAGCCAAAGTAACCCACTTGAAACTATAAATCATGGAAAAATTTGATTTACCAAACACTTATCCCACATAGGAAAGTTAGGGAACTTTGGTGTGGTTTATATGGTAGAGTTTGGGAATTGGATTTGGGCCACAAGGGGTACCAATAGTCTTTGAAAGGGGGAAGACCCATATCCTATCGGGTTCGATCATAAATCCACACTCGCGCACCATCACCGTCCATCCGATCGGCTCGGCACAGCACAAGACGAGCACGTGCATCCGGTTCGTGTTCGCGTGCGGGTGGAAAATTTATTTGAATTTTTTGGACCAAATTATAAATAATCAAATTCTTGGATACTTAATGAAATTAATTTTGGCTTATTTTCAGGTAATTTTTCTTGGTCTGGATGGTCTGTTAAACAGTCGTCTTTTAACCAATAAAATACTTGATTGTTAACCGACTAAACAGTCGACTATTAGCCAACTAAACCGGCGCAGTATCGAACAAACATGTCTGTTCGAGTTTTGAAGGCTGCCTGAACAGTGACGTCTATTCGGGAGGATGTTTAAATAGCCACAAACAAGTCTATAAATAGCATGCCCCACTATAAAAAAAACTACACAATTTTCATTGCAAATATTCTTTGCATTGAATGTCATCCTCCCCCTCTCTCGTTTTGATATTATTTTCGAAATTGAAACATTTCATTGCGTTCGTTGGAACTCCTGCAGATTGTTGTGCTACTTTCGTAGGAGACGAAATTCGTTCTATCATGGGAAACGATTGCTAGACGCCTTTAGCACCGTTGAAGGCGGCAAATTCATTTTAAGGAAATATCGTAAAGTCGGTGGGCTCGAATTAATTTTTCTGATCCTGTTTATCGTACTTTTACGCTGTCCAAAATTACGTAAGGTAATTCTGTAGGATTGTGTGGAAGGAGAAACTTATATTCCAGTTTCAACAACCTTAAAACAAATTTTTTTGGTTTATTCTGTTTCTACCCCTTCTTATCGTCTATCTTCTGATTGTATTTCAGAAATAGCAACTTCTGGTACTATACTCCCGAATACGATCGGGGAAAAATCAGAGAAAATTAATGGGTCAGATTTCAACCGCTGGCAACAGAAAATGCTTTTTTACATGGCAACATTAAGTTTGGCAAAATTTCTCAAAGAATATGCGCCTTCATACACCGAGCAAGATAGTAATGTTGAGAAATTGGTTGCGGATGATGGATGAAAGCATTCTGATTTTCTATGCAGAAATTATGCACTCAATGGACTGGATAACACATTATATAATGTGTACAACAATGCGAAGTCTTTAAAAGAACTATGGGAATCTTTGGACACCAAGTACTAAATCGAAGATGCCGGCACGAAGAAATTCATTGTCGATCGTTTTTTGGATTATAAACGGTTGACAGAAAGACTGTCATATTCCAAGTTCAAGAACTTCAAATCATACTCAGCAGCATCCATGCCGAAAGAATGAAACTAAGTGAATCATTTCAAGTTACTGCACTGATTGAGAAATTACCGCCTTCCTGGAAGGACTTCAAGAATTATCTAAAGCATAAGCGGAAGGAAATGAAACTTGAAAATATCATTATCTGGTTGAGAATTGAAGAATACAATCGCAAATCTGAAAAAAGGTGTGGTGCATCTCATGCTATGGAATCGAAAGCCAACATTGTGGAATGAGGTTTAAAGACAAGTAAAAAAAGGAAGAACAATGGAGAAGGACAAACTGGTTCTTCAAAAATTGCTAAAAAGTTCAAAGGTAACTATTACAATTGTGACAAGGCTGGACATCGATCCAAGGACTGTCGAAAGCCAAAGAATATCAAGAGAAAAACACATTAGGCCAATGTAACGAAACATGACAACCTCTCTAATAAGGTACAAGATATAAATCTTTCTGCGATCGTCTCTGAATACAGCTTAGTTGGAAACACTAAGGAATGGTGGGTGAATACTAGAGCTACTCGTCATAAATGCTCGAACCGCAGGATGTTCTCTACCTACAAAGCGATGGATCATGATGAACACCTCTATATGGGAAACTCTTCATCTTCTAAGGTAGAAGGATGGGGAAAGATAGTGCTAAAAATGACAAGTGGAAAGGAGCTCACTTTGAATGACGTTCTTCATGTCCCAGACAGTCGAAAGAATTTGGTATCTAGTTCCTTATTAAGCAAGAACGGGTTTAAGCTAGTATTCGTTTCTGACAAATTTATACTTACAAAGAATGAAATGTTTGTAGAAAAGAGCTACCTGAATGAGGGGCTCTTTAAGTTTAATTTAATGACTGTTGTACCTCCGATTATCAATAAAATTACATCTTCTTCTTACTTGAGCCATTTAATATTTGATATGAACGATTAGGACATGTAAATTATAATATTTTGCGTAGACTAATCAAATTAGATTTATTACCTAAGTGCGATTTAAATCCTAATCACAAATGCGATATATGTGTAGAAGTTAAAATGGCATGTTTACCCTTTCGTTCTATTGAAAGAAGTACCGAACCCCTAGATTTAATTCACTCTAATATATATGATTTAAATTTTGTTCAAACTAGAGGAAGTTATAAGTACTTTATCAATTTTATCGACGATTGTACTCGATATTACAATGTGTATTTACTCAAAAGCAAAGACGAAGCAATTGAAATATTTAAACACTACAAGTTAGAAGTTGAAAATCAACTTAATAAAAAGATTAATGCCATAAGAAGTGATAGAGGTGGTGAATATGATTCTCCATTTGAACAATTCTGTTCAGAACATGGAATTATTCATCAAACTTCGTGCCTTATTCTCCTCAATCCAATGGTATTGTTGAACGCAAGAATCGAATATTGAAGGAGATGATGAATGCTATGTTAATAAGTTTTGGATTATCACAGAATTTGTGGGGGGAAGCCTTACTTTCTGCCATTTATATTCTTAATAAATTACCACATCAAAACGCATAAAATACCTTATGAAATATGGAAAGGTAACAAACCTACTTAAAAATACTTGAAGGTATGGGGTTGTTTGACTAAGGTAGCAGTTCCTAAACCTAAAAGGGTTAAGATAGGACCTAAAACCATTGATTGTGTATTCATTAGCTATGCCTCCATAATAATGTGTATAGATTTCTTGTACAAAAGTCTGAAATACCCGATGTGCATATTAATACAATTGTTGAATCAAGGGATGCTAACATGCAAAATGAATGAAATTCACAGAAGAGATCTCGTGAAAGTGAAGAGGCTATAGATCAAGAATCTATAAATGAACAACCTAGACGCAATAAGACGGCTAGGACGTCAACATCCTTTGGGTTTGACTTTCTAACATATTTGTTAGAAAACGAACCTCAAAGTTTTAAAGAGGCTATATCATCAATCGAAACTTCATATTGAAAAGAAGTTGTTCATAGTAAAATTGAATCCGTACTACAAAATCATACATGGAAATTAGTAGACATTCCTCTCGGTAATAAGCTATTGGGATGAAAATGAATTTTCAAAAGAAAAATGAAAGCAGATGGATCAATTAACAAATATAAGGCTAGGCTTATCGCGAAAGGCTACAAGCAAAAAGAAGATCTTGATTATTTCGACACTTACTCTCCATGACAAGAATCACTTCCATATGTATGCTTATTGCGATAGCAGCGTTGAATGGTTTGGATATATATCAAATGGATGTTAAACGGCTTTCTTCAATGGTGAATTAGATGAAGAAATCTATATGGAGCAACCTGAAGGATTTGTGGCCCCAAGACAAGAAAAGAAAGTATGTCGACTTGTTAAATCACTTTATGGATTAAAGCAGGCTCCTAAGAAATGGCATGAAAAATTTGACACGATTATGATGTCAAATGGTTTCAAAATTAACAAGTGTGACAAATGTGTTTATATTAAGAACACTCAAAATGGTTACGTCGTGGTATATTTATACGTAGATGACATGTTGATTATGGGTAACAATGATACCATAATTCAAACTACAAAAATGATGCTAACAAGTAAATTTGAAACAAAGGATTTAGATGTGGTTGATGTTATATTAGGAATTAAAATTTCTAGAACATTCGATAGTCTCATATTGTCTCAATCACACTTCATCGAGAAGATTCTTG